GCCTCGGAACCGAGAGCCTGAAGGATACTTCCTTCTACACATTGCTTTTGTTCATGGCATTTCTCCACAGTAGCAGAAAAGCAACTGATGCCACGTGTGTGTGTGTGTGTGTGTGTGTGTGTGTGTGTGTGTCTTTCTGTGGTAGGTGCACAAGACTGCAGGTGCCCTCGGAGGCCAGTGACACTGAATCCCCTGGAGCTGGAGCAGGTGGCTGTTGAGCGACCATGTGGGTGCTGGGAGCCAACTTTGATTCTGCAAGAGCAGTCCTTGCCATTAACCACTGAGCCCTTGTAGAAATGTGCGGTGTTAGCTTACATAACAACACGAAAGTTGGTAGAAATTCTCATTTGTAAGAACTAAACTTAATTTCAAGTTCTGTGCTGCAAGTGTTATGTCAGTTTGACAGAAGCTGGCATCATCTGGGAACAGGGACTCTCAACCGAGAACATTCCTCCAGAAGATCTGGCGGTAAACACGATTGTAGTACATGATTCTTGACTAGAGACTGATGTGGGTGTGTCCAGTCCATGGCGAGTGGTGCCACCCTGGCCTGGTGACCTGGGTGCTACAAGAACAGTGACTGAGCAAGCCACAGCAGCAACCCAGGAGCAGCATTCCTCCGAGACCCTTGCATCAGCTTCTGCCTCACGCTCCTGCCCTGACTTCCCTCAGCAGCAGAGTGTATCCTCAGAGTTGCAAGCCGAAACACACTCTTTCCTCCCCAAGCTGCTTTGTGGTCAAGGTGTTTCATCACAGCAACAGAAACTCTAAGATGTGTTCCATAGGTATCATGTTTCTGTGTTACACTATCTCTTATTACATAGTAAATTTAAATATGCAGTGTGTGTGTGTGTGTCTGTGTGTCTGTATGTGTGTGTGTGTGTGTGTGTGTCTGTGTGTGTGTGTGTCTGTGTGTGTCTGTGTGTGTCTGTGTGTATGTATAAATTCATGTAGAGACAAGAGCTTGACACTGGCCATTTCTTCAGTCATTCTGCCTCCTTAGGTTTTTGAGGCAGGGTCTCTCACTAATATGGCTCTCCCTGATGTGGTCAGCCGGGTTGGCCAGTGAACCTTAGAGATCCAGTTGTCTTTACTGCCATGCACACCGTACACCACTGCTGAGGAAAATTATTAGCCAGCGCATAGGCAGCTCACCAAAGAATCTGACATTTCAAATGGTTCTTCTCACATCTTTCTCGCCTCTCTGCATTGCATCTAAAAAGGCCATCCTCACTTTACTAATGGAGACCCCATTCTGTTAACAACTGTGACTAGGAAGGAGGGAAGGGCCAAAGATAAGCCAGCTCGGAGCTCTCAGATTGTACTCTGTAGAGTGGAGTATCTAGAGATAGGAACACAAACTATGCTTTTCTAATTGATATTAATCATTGGCATGTTCTGCATACAGACAGTGGTCTCCTGGCCAACAAAGAGCTGTACTGGGTGTGCTGTGGCCCATCAGGTAGCAGGGCCCGTGAGAGGTCCCACCGCCACTGGAACACACATGGAGTCCGAGTGGAACCTGGGTCTCCTCCCTCAATCTCTCTTCCCAGCTGGTGATGTGAGCTTTTCACTTGGACACACATCCCTGCCACTGCCATCCGCTGTCATAGCCAGAGGCCAAACGCGGTGGGGCTATCAGATCTTGAACTGGAAACAAATTTATGTTTTCTCTTTCCAGTTCACAGCCTGAGACATTGCAGTGCAGTGACTCCAAGCTGACTAATACAATAAACACTAAAATTCTCAGCAATTATTTGCCAAGAGTTTTTTTAATTAATGATTTTTCTCTCTTATTTAGTTCCTCTAACAATGTTATCTTTAAAAAAATCCAGAAATAAGATATAAACCTCTATTTCATATTTTGTTTTCTTTTTTGTGTTTTTTGCTTGTTTTTTTTTTTAAGACAGGGTTTACTGTGTAGTCCTGGGTGTCCTAGACTCTCTCTGTAGACCAGACTGGCCTCGAACTCATAGAGATCCGCCTGCCTCTGCCTTCTGAGTGCTGTGATTAAACATGTTTTGTTTTCTAAAACACGCTGTCCCATCATGAGCTAAGAAGGCTTGGTCTGAGATCTGAGGACACTTCGCGCGAGCAAGCAAGTGGCGTCTTACCTTCAACTTTGTTGTTTTTTCTCTTCAGCCACTTCTCTACGGTCTCGGCGCTCACGCTTTCGGAGACAAACTCATCTAAGACCTGGGGGTGGAGAGAGAGGTAGGCCTTCACTTTCTCATCCGTCAAACCTGCAAAGGAATTGCAAAGAATAAAATTCACCCATGCGGCGACTTTAAACAGGAAACACATGGTGTACCAACGCACGGTGCTAGGAGTTAGGAACTTCCCTCTGCTGCGGGGAGCTGGGACAGGCGGGGTGACTTCATGGGAAGACAAAAGGGCAAAGCTTTGGACGTGCACGGGCAACAGGCGATGGCACTACAAGGTGCCACGAAACCTCACCTGCTTATGTTAGCTTACTAAGGTGGCATTTTATGACCATAAGAAGAGAGTAAAGCTAAGGACGGTGAAGTCAGAACTTGGTAACTAAGTGGTAGATGATAAGTTACACCAAGTAGCTGTCCCCCGGCTGTCAGTTCTGGGGCACTGAGCCAGACGGTGCCTTTCTATTGGATGTTAGGTTGCATGATGCACTTACACTGAGGTAAGCAGCTACCAGCTAAACCTGGCAAGGCACCGTGGATGGGTGCCAGTGACTGGATGAATGTGTTCGTCACTGTTCGTCTTTATTGCTGTCAACTTAAATTCCTCCCTTTCCAGGGAGTCACTAGAGCTGGTGGTCCAACCAACGTCACTCCAGAATGCTCTTGCCACTTCTCCATCGCTATCGATGAAGTTTCTGTCCAACGAAAACTGATGGCTACAGACAATTTCATATATTTTCATATCAAAAATACAAAGTGGCATCTTTTTTAGATTGAAATAATCCCAAACACAAGCTGGGTGTGGAAAGTGCTCTCACTATGCCTGTTCACTGAGATTTCCCAAGTGGCCATCTGCAGGAATGGCTGGATGACAGCACCACCAGACAGTGACTTTGACATAAAAAAAGAAGGAAACTAAGTCCAATTCTATCCCTGCAGAGAGTAGGCCGTGCATTTCCACAAAGTGGAGAATCCACACGTGTTAATTAATTCTGCTGAGCACTCGAATCACAGCTGTGAGGATCTTACAGCGGAACAGGGTCACTGGGAAGGCAGATGGCTTCTTTCAAAGAAATCATTCTCTAAACAGCTGACTGTAACACACACAACACAAACAGCACACGAGAGGGGAAGGAGACCCATCGTATTCTCTGCACAGGGCAAAGGACATGTGGGGGGAGGAGACCCATAATATTCTGCACATGGAAAAGGACACACACAACACACATAGCACATGAGAGAGGGGGAGGAGACCCATTGTATTCTCTAACCCCAGAAAGCCAGGTTGCAGAGACTGCTGTAACTTGGGCTCCTTGCTATTTCGCGCATTATAGCTATGTCCTGTGTGCAAATTGTATATTACATAAAGGACCCGCATCCAAAATATCCTCTTAAAAGTCAACCATAAGCAAACAGCTAGTCTTTAAAAATAGACACAATGTAGAACAAACCCCTTAACAAAGAAGATGTGAATATCACAGATAGACACAAAAAGGGTACTAATTGGTCATTAGTGAGCTGAAGGTAACGTGAAAACAAGACTCAGCTACATAGTTATTACCATGGCTAAAGTCCAAAACCCCCGAAGCACTAATTGTTGGTGTGGAACCGAACATCAGTCCTTGCTGGTCAGCATCCAAGCACTTTTGAAAGATGGTTTATTAGTTTATTATCACATTTTTTAAAAAGTTGTTCTGCTTAACACAGTAATAATAATATCCCTCATAGTCAACATAGCCCAACTCACATGGAAGCCCGTGTCCACATAAAGACCTGCATGTGGACTTTTTGTAAATGGCTTTTTCCCATAATCTGCTAATTCTGGAGGCATGTAAGCTCCCTTCTAGGGAGTGAAGACACAGATAAGCTGTGTGCATAACTAAATGTTAGTTCATGATAAGAAGAAATGATGAGAAGCCAGGAAAAGACCTAGATGAGCCATAACAGGGAGATAAGCTATTGTTGGGAGCTGCAGATCCCTGGTCCCTTGACTTTCTCAGACCCTTTGCCTGCTGGAGTGAACTGAGCAAAACACTTGTGCCTGCAGCTGCTCTGGGCATGAGACCCTGATGGCAGGCTGGTGGGACTGCAGCTGAAAGATCCCAAGAGCTGCGCGTGGCTAAGGATTCATATATAAGCTTCCCCTGAGCACAATAAAGTTGGCATTGACATTCTTGTATCAAGGATGACCCGTGTCCGTGTCTCTCTTTGTGTGTCTCTGTCGATGTGTATTTAAGCCTCCAGCTTAGTTCCCGGCTCGAGTACCAGTCCCGTAGTAGTGACACAGGAGCTACAGGACTGTCAGTTTTTACAGGACCATTCAGGCTTTTACAAGCTACCCTGAAGGGACATACATTAAACAGTTGCAGATATGCAACACAAGAAGAAGAAAGAAAAAAAGAAGGAGGAAGAAGGGAGGAGGAGGAGGAGGAGGAAGTCAATAGGGTAAATAGGAAAAGATCAGTAATTGTCTGAAGTGTCTCAGTCCAGAAAAATGGAGGGAAGCTGACTGGGTGAAACACAGATCTCATGGGGCCAAGAAATTCTACTGATACTATGGTGGTGAACATTGATACTACAAATTTGTCAAAACCCAGATAACCTTATGGTACAATGGATAACATGGGGACACATGCCATTATTTACAGATAAGAAGGCTGGGAATGGCCAGTGAACTATGATAAAAAGAAGGATGCTGGCCCCTTGGTGAGTCTCATGCCACGGGCAGTCCCACTTGCTCTTTATGTACACAACGGTGTGATCACTGTGTGTTTAAGGGATGGGAGATTTGTTCATTAGGACACATCCTATTATGTTACAAACACACTCACTAGAATAGTTACCTCTCAGTTTAGACATCAACAAGATACACATTTAGACTCAAATCAAACACAGTTCTAAGTGTTTCTTCATAACAACTTGTTTGAATAAAGGAATCTATGCATTGCTAAGGGTGAGCTGTACCTGACTGTGTCCAATGGAAGATTCCTAAGAGCTGTGATAATGTAACTTTGGTAATAACTGTGTTAACATAACTTTGGTAAGAGCTGTGTTAATGTAATTTTGGTAAGAGCTGTGTTAGTGTAACTTTGGTTTTGGTAAGAACTGTGTTAACGTAACTTTGGTAAGAACTGTGTTAATGTAACTTTGGTTTTGGTAAGAACTGTGTTAGTATCACTTTGGTTTTGGTAAGAACTGTGTTAGTATCACTTTGGT